GATTACTGATAGGATACATGTGTCATCGGCATATATGGTGATGACAGTGTTGGGACAGGTAGGGATGTCAGTTGTATAAATTGTATAGAGGATAGGACCTAGGATACTACCTTGAGGAACACCAGCGGACTGGGTCGATAAGTTTTAAATATATATAGGCATTACTTTGCTGTATTTTATTAACTTCATTCGTATTCTTGTATTTCTTCTTGAATAACTTTTGTTATAACTTATGGAACATTTCGGCGAATTTCATGAGAAAGCTACACTGACATTACTTGGCAGTCGTTTTATATCGGTACTGTACATTTATTTATTGTATCCTATATTAGTTACGGTTGTGTGATAACCATAGAAACATGGGTTAAATCTGTCTGTTTCAAAGAAGAGAAATCGAATAATGTCTTTAGAATATCTTAAAATAAACATAACGTGTCGTACAGTATTATTGTGTCTTTGAACCTATATCATATTTTTGGGCAAGTTCAAGGGTAACCTCTAGGAATTTAGTTCTCTCAGGAGAAGATTAACACGAGAAGACTTTCAGAAGTAACTTTGACACCTTCTTGAGTGGTAAGTTCTATTTGGAAGTAACTCCTGACTAGTCGAAGTCTAGACTTACAAACTACCGAAGAATCCTTTGAAAGGAAGCTGCTTGATTAGCTATGGAGGATTCCATTAAAAGAACTTTCTCACTAATCAGAATCAAAGGCTGTTTTAATTCAATATATTCGCTAAAGACTGTTATACTAAATAGATTCAGATAAAGAAAGGTGTTATTATGCTTTTTTGTTTAACTAGAAGTTTGTAGTGAAATAGTTATTTTCACTAATTTTACAGGTTGTTCCATGAGTATAAGAAAATTTTAATAGGATTGATAGCAGACCTCAAAAGCTACAAAAAACTTTATATAAACAATAGACCAAAGAAACACAGAAAATTCAAGTTTTTTTTTTTAAGCAAAATAAATATCATAACATAAATCAATTGTAAACTAGACAAAATGTACTTCAAATGAAGATAGAGTTTATCATTGTTAAAACAATTCAAAGATGACTTTTTAATGGTTAAACTGAGCCAAGTTCCGTTAAAAAAAAAAAAAAATCATAAATTCTTCTCTTTTTTTAATAATTATCCAACTATACTATACATACCGTAGGATGGGATAACTTTGGAATTGGGTGGGTAACTTTGGGACAGCGGGTAACATTTAGTTTGTTGTGATTCTGTGGTGGAGACACTGATTCAGTCAGCATGTTTTTTTTTTTTTTACTCAGAATGGACAGCGCATGCACTGCGACAGTACCTTGCGGCACACTACTCTTGAGGTACAGCCGAAAGTTTCATGAAAATAAGAATATTGAATTTTTTTTTCTTTTTTTCCTGGGAAGTTGTCAATTTAATTTAGTTGTTTGGCAATAATAACTTCCAGTTGTTAACAATTGAGTATATTTTTTACTATCAACGTTACATGTTAACAAGTTAGTTGACGTTTCGGGACCTTGGATGCAAGGCTTAATTTTAATAATAATAATAATGTGCTCCATCGTCAATTTTTTAATTTATGTTCTAAAATTTGTCATCTAGAGCAATAACCTCCTTTTGACCAATAATTGGGTTTCTGCCATAGTCTATTGAAAAAGAATATTGAAAAAAAAATAATGGAAATAAATAAAACCTAACTGCACAACGAGTGTAGTGAATCAAGGTTCTCAAATTGCCGCAAGGTGTTAGCGCAGTACATGCCTATACAAAGCAAGTTTTTGCAGACTGGACCAACACAGTGAAATCACCACAAAATATATTTTACCCGCTGTCCCAAAGTTACCCACCCAGTCCCTAAGTTACCCCATCTTACGGTACCCCGATTTTGGGAAAATTTCCTCCATTAGTTAGCTTCAAGTCCTTAGTAATTAGGTAGAGATTTATTGGGGGAAAATGGAGATTCACTTCAAGATGTTGAAAAAAAAAAATTATTTAACTCTGTCCCCTAAAAGTATCTCTTTTTTCAGCAAAAATGGCTACAATTAACTGTTGCAAAGATTTTCTTTAATTTTTTTCCATGATTTTGGATGCATTATAATATACATAAATGCCTAAATACACTTTGTATTAATGAAAAACATTAATAATAATGAAGAGAAGAATAGTTGGGGTGGTCAGTCAAAAAGAAGGCAAAAATAAATGATGATATTTATTTTTACATATGCCGACGTTTCTACCTGAAGTTCAGGCCTTCATCAGGGCCAAGAAAATAACCATATAACAAGGTATGAGAAACATAAGTAGTGATGGTAAAAAAAATAAAGAAAAAAAATACAATAAAAATAAAATAAATTAAAATAAAGTAAAATGAAATTGTTAGAATAATGACAATAGTAAGAACTAAGAGATAAATAATAATAACCGTTACAAAATATGGAATGATGAAGTAAGCATAATCAAAAAGGATGATGTAAGTGTTACAATGGGAATCTTAGAATAAAATGTAAAACATAAAAAAGAAATATGAAGTTATATAAGAAATGAAAATAAATAGTAAAATTAAGACTATTTATTTTCATTTCTTATATAACTTCATATTTCTTTTTTATGTTTTACATTTTATTCTAAGATTCCCATTGTAACACTTATGTCACCCTTTTTGATTATGCCTGCTTCATCATTCTACACTTTGTAACGGTTATTATTATTTATCTCTTAGTTCTTAGTCATTATTCTAACAATTTCATTTTACTTTATTTTTATTTTATCTTTTTTTTTACCATCACTACTTATGTTTCTCATACCTTGTTATCTGGTTATTTTCTTAGCCCTGATGAAGGCCTGAACTTCAGGCCGAAACGTCGGCATATGTAAAAATAAATATTATCATTTATTTTTGCCTTCTTTTTTGACTGACCACCCCAACTATTCTTCTCTTCATTATCCACGACAGTCAACCATTTACCAATTATTAATAATAATGATTTTTCGCATTTTGTTTTTCACCCAGATCTCTATTATACGAATTGATCTGTATTTGTAAGTGGAAAACTAAATGTTTCTAGTCCTAAAATTTACGATTTGATGAAAATAATTGAAGCAATCAACAGGTTTATTTATTTTAAACGCAAATATTAGGACTAGAAATATTGATTTCTTTACTTATAAATACAGATCAATCGATAAACTTTTTTGTAGCGATTAAGGTCTGCTATCTTGTAAAAGAATTTCCCTCTCGGGACACTATGTGCAATGATTTTAAAAATAAACTCATAAATGTATTTATATAGTATTGAAAATGTCTATTGTGGTCCCTACATACGATAGAATTTCGATATGGATTTAACAGTAGCAGGATGGCTATTTGTACAGTTTTAAATAAGAGAATTTCTGAAGGCGTAGGTAGATGTGTACCGTGATCCTTGTATTAAATATAAAACTTTTTTTTCAAGTTACTGTTTGAACCAACTGAAACAAAGTTACTGTTTGGATTTTTTTTTTTTTTTTTGGGTCCTCCCCTTCCTCGCCGTTAAGGATATACGAGGTTTTCCCGGGCCAGGTAGTGTGGGCGGGGATTTAAAAGACTCTCTCGGCACCGGGACGCGAACTCGTGACTATTTTTATATTATTTGATTGGAATATCCGGTTGCCGGGCAACGGCGGTGCTGTGCACACGCGTTAGCCCATTTAGCCACCCCGCCCACTAACCCTGTATGGTATTCATAGCTGATACTACTTAACAGTAGTATAGTAGTACACAGGTGCCCATCCCCCCGAAGGTTGATGGCGCAAGAACCGATCTCCCTCCCCGTCCACCCAAGATATTTTATTGGATACCTTTTCTTCAAAACAGAGCAATTTTAGGTACAATTAGAAAAACATTAAATCATATCAATTACGCTTATTGCTGTCTGTTTTCTCTCGAAATTTACCCCCCTCAAAAATTCAAAAACCTGTTAAAATATGCTCTCCCTTAAAAATGTTGATCAAATAACTTTCTGAAAACCCCTGGTAGTATATTACACTGATACTGATATAGTACAGTAAAATATCTATTATTATTATTTTATTATGTTTATGGATGCCCACGACCTATATAGATCATTTTTGAAGATATTTTGTAATCAATATGAACTCATTAATAAGATAAGAATTTGTCGTTGATTTTATGAACGTAATGCTGTTAAAGCTATTCACGCATATATTTTTTAAGTTGAATTACGTTGCTCTATATAGAATGTTGGAACAGGAACATTTTTAGACGGTTTTTATGTAATTTTTAAACGCTCATAGATCCGCCTGTATCTTCGAAAGCAATATTTGGTGTCATTCAACTCAAACAATGGCATCAGTTGGGATTGTAAAAGGTATATTGCATTACTTGTAGTAATAACGGGTGTAATTATTGCTTCAAATAGGTGTAACATTAGTTTTGTGTTACTGCAAAGAACGGGATAAATATGTATTAAAAGAACAGTTATTTTTATTCACATTATGTTAATAAAAATATCTGCATACTTCCTGTTTGAAGGTATTCTGCCTTATATGTTGTACTGAGTAAAATAAAGCTTAACTTCACAGAAACATTTAGCAATATTATAGGGTATAAAATTAATTTTTAACAAAAAAATGACAATGAAAAGCAACTGACTGCAAGTATTTGATTAGATATTAAGAATGTTTGAAATTACCTCACAAAATACAAGTTTATAGTCTCGATAATGGGACATTTGCCTTAATTGACAAAGAAGTTCATTAGATCGAGAATCAAATTGGTATTTGGCAAGATTCAATTACCATTCTCTGGGATTTGGCTCTAGCTAGACCAATTAGTGATAGTAATCTCAATTCGATGTAATTGAATATTCGGTTATGATGGTTAGAAATGTTCGAATTTACGAAAGATGTTATTTTTTTATATCATTATTTGCTTTGTATATTATTTATATTTTTAGTAAATAATAATTGAAAAAATATTAAATAATAAATTTTATAACTCGACATTGCTTTTTCAGAATGCCAAACCAAAATGACCCGGAACTGCCTTCGAAGATGTCCAGGCTCAATGAAAAGGATTCGGACAACGAACTATTAGACGTCAAAGTAGAGATTCCTGATGACGAGTCTGTAAGTATATTATTCTTTAAATAAATTTAATTTGTCTTATATTGAATTGTCTAATTAATACATTATTATTCCAAAGACACGTGTATCCTATCAGTTAACAACTATCCATCAATTGCATACCAAATTCTGTAATTACGCATCACCAGCCATGAAGAATGATGTCAAAACTGGAAGATTAAAGTAAATTCCGATAAATCATATCAAATCACCTTTACCTTCCATCGGAAACCTGTGACTTCCTGTTCTACAATACCCCACTTATCCCTTTTGAGTAAATCCGATATCAAAGACTCCACCTGCAGGAGTGCCCATCTCCTCTCAAGATATTTTATTGGACACCTTTTCTTAAAAACAGAACAAGATAAGGTAGAATTAGATAAAACTTAGATCATATACAATTACACTTGCTGCGGTATATTCCATGTTTTTACCCTTGTCCCTTAGTCCGCCACTTGCGCCATGAAACCCCCTTATGGGAATCCTCGTACCAGACTAAAAGGACTAAAAACCACTCTTTGGTCACCCCAATCCTCTAGTTCGTAACTTTTCATCCAATACAATTCCTGACAACCCTCCGAGGCGTTGAAAGAAGATGGCCAAGGGACCTCCTAAATTAATTTATCTTTGAAGTGTTACCAATGGGAAGCTTCTTCACAAGTTCCTTCATGTTATATATTCCTATAGCAGATTTAATGGTTGTATATAAGTTTACAGTTGTAAATTTTAATAAAATAATTTTTTAAAAATTTAAATTTATAACCACGTTTTAAGTTTTAGACATCAAGGAACAAATTTGGTTAGTATCTTTAGTCAAATTCACATGATGTGCATATTACCTAGTGCCATTAATGCGATTTCCTACAAATTCCATTCAAAAATTAAACTTAATTTAAATAATTTTCACGAATATAATAGCTTTGAAATGAGGTAACGTTGAGAGAGTGAACATATGATACGAGAGATTAAATAAGTTTTATGTTCCCTGTTTGTCTTTCTGTTTTTGATGAAATTGTCCAATATTGATTGAATTTATCAATCAACTTTTTTCGCTTAGGGGAGCATTTATCCTTGAAAAGTGTATACTTCAAATCTAGGTTATTATATAAGCAATAGAAATGTGTAAACTTTATTTGTTTTACAGAGTAAATCGTATTTATTTCTCTCCCTCTTCCTTGTCTTTCGACAATACGGAATTTCATCTTATTGTATATAACAATTAACTTTATGTATTTTCCAGTTTGATTTCTATCCTGGAGTCACCCCAATCCTACCCAAGTCAGACCAAAATATGTAAAACCTTTATTCCGTTGTTGTCGGTCATTAAAGAAAAATCAGATTCAGACTCATAAAGATTTTGAAAACTGAACGGCAAGGAGCTGTCTCAAAAAGACACTGCCACCACGACTTCAATCATATAATTTTAATAAATAAAAGAATCAACAAAAATGAGTTTCATAATGAATGAAAAGTGTTTTATATTGTTCAATATGAGGAAAAAGTAAATTAAAGGCATTCGAAAGCCATCAAATTCAAGTGTTCCAATCGATGTTGCATCGAGAAATAAATGATTCCTGAAAATCGGCAATTGATAAATGATAATAAATAAATAATTAAAAAACGATTTTTGAACCAGATTCGTCACGGTGAGGAAATTACTTTCGATATTTGAGTTATCTTTGAAAACGATATATTTCAATACAACAAATACGAGAGAAATCAAATTAAATTATTCTTGTTGTGGTGGTAAAATTCCAGACAATGTGTTTATTTCGATGAGAAGACCAATATTTAATCTTATCAAATAAACAGTAGTAAACACTTGAACGTGCAATGGAACATTGGCTGAAGGATCACTTGTATTGTCACCATAAAAATATAAACAAGTTTAAGAATTGGTATTTTTAATTATTCCACAATGTCAGTGCACCAATTTTACTACGAAATTCGGCTGAATATTATTCATAAGAGTTTTATGAAATCGTGCAGTAATAACTATTTAAATTTATATTTAGGTATTTATACACTTATTCAGCTTGATACTGAATCAATTTTCATTTAAATTGCATTTTATGAACTAAGTTTGACACTAAGGTACACATGAGAGATATTTTTTTAATTTTTCTTTTTAAAACGCTTTGTAATTGAATTTTATTTAACTAAAAAATATTTGTGCTAATAAGGCGCATAAACATTTATTTAAATTTCAAATAAAATTATAAACAATGTAAACTATATAGGTATTTTGAAATTTTATGACATATGTAGAAAAATAAGGGATACAAATGTACCCTAATGTGTCTTTTTTTGAATGGCAGTGAGATTAAAAATAAATAAAAAATATAAGAGTAAATTAATTTTATTTTTATTTCTCAAAAGAGTAACTGACTTAGTTGTATTTAATTACTATTTAAATAATTATTAATTATACAGGGTGTTCCGTAATTGCACGGTACTATTTTAGGTATGTGTTCACTAATACAAAATAAACAAAAAAGTTCATATTAACATAGATCCCAAATTCATTTATTAAACAGATATCAAAAGTTAAAGATTTCTTATTTATTTACTATATTAAGAATGACTGTATAAAGTTTAACGTGTTTAATACTAAATAACAGGTTTTAATCCCCTGATAAGCAAATGAACGATAAGCAATGGCAGAAGTTGCTCATCTGTTTGTCTAGTTCTGTGTGTTTTAGTGTGAGTGAATACTGTGACAAATTTCAATTTATGATTATCATGGGAGACACATTAATTTATTCACAGTTGCAAAACAAACATACATGCTTTTAACTTATTTCAAGGTAGATAGAAACGGTGCTGCTTCTTTTCGAAGATATCGTTAAAAATTTCCTAACCGAAGAATACCAAATTGTAAAACGTTTGAGGCCATTGAAAGAGGCCTTAGGGATAATGACATGCTAATACCTACACGAGTAAACTCCGTTCGACAAAGATGTCGAGGAACTGCAAACGTCGAAGAAGAAATACTCGATGCTGTTCAGTTATCTCCTACTACTAGTACCAGAAGATTGTCACGTCGTTACGATGTTTCCTCTACCAGCAGAAATTTACGCGAACAACAGTTGTATCCATTTCACGTATCGAATAGGCAAGATTTGTTACCACAACATTATAAAAAGCGCAGAAATTTCACCCAGTGATTAATTCGACAATGCAGACAAGATTCTAACTTCCTGAACTGCATTTTGGTTATTGATGAATCTGGCTTTGCAAGAAACGGGATTCTGAACTTTCGAAATACCCATACTTGGGCTGAGGAAAAACCTCATACGACTGCTGTTGGACATTACCAACATACCTTTTCTTTAAGTGTCTGGTGTGGTCTTCGAAGCGTTAACTTCATCAACTCCTACTTTTTACCACCTAGGCTGTCAGGTATATCTTGCATGTAATGGAGACCGATGGGTTTGTCGAAATGGATCTGTTAAATGGTTACCACGATCTTCGGATTTAACGCCATTAGATTATTTTGTGTGGGGCTGGATGAAGTCTATGGTTTATTCTGCGGCACGAAGAGCTAAGAAATCGGATCGTGGAAGCCGCAGTAACTACCAAGCACCACCATCCTGATGCTATACCAAGAGCCAGAAAAGCATGGATTGGTCGTGCTGAATGTAGCATTCAAAAAAACGGAGGCCCGTTTGAACAGTTACTCTAATTGTTATAATAATAATAAATAAATAATAATAGTAATAATAACCAATATGGATTCAGGTCTAATGGCACTCAATTTGAACAAAGCCGAAGATTTCACAGTTGTGTCCGAAAATGAAAGGCTGTGAGAATGGAAAAGCAAGGCGCTACATGGCAGATAATACAGCCAATTGAATGAAGCCTCCATAGACAAAGAAAAATCTGTGGAATGGTTAGCGGTAGGAAGGCTATACTCTGAAACAGAAGGCTTTGTTGTCGCCATTCAAGATCAGGTCATTGCCACCAGGTCATATAGGAGGCACGTTCTTAAAGACACTAAAACATCTGATAAATGTCGACTTTGTTCTACGACGTACGAATCAATCCAACATATCAAAGCTGGATGTGGAGTACTCGCTGGCACGGAGTATCTGCAGAGGCACAACAATGTGGCGAAAATATTCCACTAAACTCTGGCGGTGAAACTTAACCTGTTGGATGAAAAGGTGCCATATTACAAGTATAATCCGATAAGGCTGCTCCAGAAGGGTTCCCTCAAGATGTATTGGGATGAATCTATAATAACGGATCATACAGTGCTTCGCAACAAACCCGATATCCTTATTATGGATTTAGGAGCAAAGAAGGCAAACTTAATTGATATCGCGATTCCAAACGATAACAACATAAGCACGACCGTGGGAGAGAAGCTCCTTAAGTACCAAGAACTGGCGATCGAATTAAAGGAGTTGTACCATTTGGAGAGCGTATTAATTTCACCAATAATAATATCAACCAATGGTCTGATCCCAAAGTCAACGGTGGCAGGTACGGACGGCTTGGAATTACTCCTTGATGTGTTGAGAGAGGCTCAGCAAGCGGTTCTCTTGGATACAGCGAGAATAACAAGATAATTTTTAAATATCTAAAATATTATAACTGCAGGTCGTTGGACTTGTTCCCCACCTTCAGCTTTGAATCCGCAAAGGCGAGAATAAAAAAGATAATAATAATAAATCTTTAACCTGTTGATATCTGTTTAATAAATGAGTTTGAAGTATATGTTAATATGAACTTTTTTGTTTATTTTGTGTTAGTGAACACATACCTAAAATAGTGCCGTGGAATTACGAAACTCCCTGTATAAATAAATTATAATTATATAGGTAATTAAATTAATTATTTTCAAATATTAATTTTTATATATCTAACAAGACATATCAAGATGGTTTTATAGTATTTTTTAGCATATTTTATAACTACTGAAATATGGAAATCGCATTTTATGTAAAAAAATATATTTTGCAATCTAACCAATTGTTATTAACATTAGATTTTTCTCTTAAAAGAGATCAAAAAGACTTTTCTCGTTTAACGGAGCTCTTTTATTAGACTGACAGGATTCGGCAATATTTTCTTTATTGTCGTACGTTAGGATTAAGTCATCTAGTTTTTTTTTCCATTTTTTGTATGGCCTCTGAAAAAATATAATATTTACATCCAAAACCCTCTGTAAAACGTATTTTACATCTTATCTCAGAAAAATAAATATATAAAATAAGTAAATTACAAAACATCAATGTTGTTTCCTATTTTTAAAAATCAGGTACTATTTTTTTTGCATACGAGAAACCCTTTACAAATAAGATAATTACTCAAAGAAATAAAAATAGATGATTAATCTTAAACAGAAACCTCCAAGAAGCAATGTTATGAAAATTTAGAAACAATTGCTTTTGTGATTTTCGATAAACCAATGCTTGAAATGAACTAATAATATTTTTTTTTGAAATTCACAACTTGATAAAAATGAAGAAAACAACCAGTAAATGCGAACAGAGAAATTTAATCTCATGAAAAGAATTGTAGAGAAATACCTATTGGTAACACTCTCATAGAACTATGATTAGACAAATTTGATACTATTATGTTATATATTTCATGAAATTCTCAAGATAGTCAAAGAAAGATTTGAAACAGAAAGATATTGAAAACAAATGATATATTTATCTAGGATGTGACTGAAAAATAGACCTAGATATAAAATAATTTTTTTTTTTACTATAAGTTCTCTTGAAGTGTTCTGATGCAAATTTCTTGATATTATCATAATAAATAACTATATTAAGCTGGAGTGGTTTGAGTTCATTTCCTATGATCGATGTTTCCTGGACCCGGTGAGAAGGGGAATGCAGAAAAGGAGGAAAGTTTCTAACTGCATTTCACTAACTAATTTGGCTTGAACGCCTGGAATCCAAAAAGGCTTCGATACCGTTGACTTTTCTTCAAGTTTTACTACGAATGGTGCTTAAAATAAAACACTGAAAAGTGAAACAGATTTTTTTCTATAAATTTTTTAAATATTTTCTGTTACAATTCCAATTGGGAAAGCAAATAGAATCAAATTATCATATGAATTCATATTATAATATGAAGAGAAGATATTCCAAAAATGTATTCTTGAAAACAAGCAATATTGCACTGGTGCCTTTCTGGACGTAGCGCAAGCTTTCGACCGGGTGTGGCACGATGGCTTGCTTTTCAAGCTCAAAACCCATTTACCCCAATCCTTATACCTAGTCCTCAAATCCTATCTCTCAAATCGTTCCTTCCAAGTCCGTTGCGGCACCGAATCCTCCACTTACTATCCAGTTGAGGCTGGTGTTCCACAAGGCAGTGTTTTGGGTCCAGTTCTCTACATCCTTTTCACTGCCGATATCCCTCCAAATCCCGATACCTTCCTAGCTACATTTGCCGATGATACTGCCATTCTATCCTCCCACTCAGATCCTCAAATAGCATCTCAAAACCTACAATCTCACCTCTCCTTGATTGAGCAGTGGTGCAACGACTGGCGCATTAAAATCAATGAAGCAAAATGTAAACATATTACCTTCACTCTGCGACGCAGATCCTGTCCCACAATCCTTTTCAATTCAATACCACTTCCCTACTCAGATACAGTCCGTTACCTTGGCTTCCTTCTAGACAAAAGACTAACTTGGAACCCACATACGAGACTTAAAAGACAAGAACTTAACCAACGATATGGCCAGCTATATAGACTACTAAGCAGGACATCTCATCTTTCGATTGAAAATAAACTTTTAATCTACAAGACAATACTGAAACCTATCTGGACCTACGGACTTGAACTGTGGGGAACTGCTAAACATTCGAATATCAAACGCATCCAATCCTTCCAGTCCAAAGTACTTAGAACAATAGCCAATGCCCCATATTATGTCACAAATAAGACCCTACACCATGACCTTAACATCCCTTTTGTCCTCGACATCATCCCATCCAGATTCTCAAACTTTCACCAGAACCTTATCCATCATCCAAATCCTCTAGCTCAATCCCTATCCAGCTCCCACCATCCCTACAATCCCCCTCGAAGGTTAAAACGGCAGTGGCCGCGAGATCTATTGTAAATATGCTTCTGGAGTCCTGGCAATGGCCAGCTTCTCCACTCAAGTCCTGAGCATCTGTGGCTCTAGTGCCCTCCTTCAGCCTCCACTGGCTTTTAATACTAGTGATGCGGCTGGAAAAGTGGCACTGGGATCTCTGGAGTCCTGCTTTGCTTTCCACATGTGGGGAGAAAAGGCTGGCTCGGAGATTCCTGGGCGAATGTATATAGGTATGAATGTGTTTAGAAGTTTTTATTTTATTTTGTTTATTTATTTTTTTTATTTTATTTTATTTTTTTTTCTATTGATTTACATTTTTTTTTATAAGTATTATTTATTTACTTTTATATTTATAGTTACTTCTGTATTACTTGTATATACTGTATGAATGAGAACTTTTAGCCTTAATACTTATAGCCCTCCAACAGTGGCTGATTGTATTATTATTCAATAAAAAAAAAAAAAAAAAAAAAAAATGTATTCTTTTAGCGATATTCCAAAATTAAATATTTTATTTTAAATCGGGCTTCTTCAGAAATAATAATTTTTTACTCACACTAGTCCGCGGTACATTAAGATTCAAATATAACCTCGTAAATGACACTTCTGTTTTACGAGGTGTTTTCAATCTGGCGATGAGTAAACTTTACCTATTTAATGAGATACTAAAAACTCGTGAAAACCCATTTGCTTTTCACTCGTAATCGTAGGATAATCATGTAGTTAATGATGGTCTACAAAGTTATTGGGCCGTTTGGTGTGACCTTCACGACTATGTAAAAATACCGATGCTATAGATCAAACGGACATTTGTATTTTAGTCGGTCACCTTTTTTTCACGATTGTGGGATCACATTATCTTATGATTCAAATGGAAAACAAATGGATATTACAGTTTTTAGTGCCTCATTAAATTAATCAATCTTCTTTTTTATATAATTTCTTCAGATTTATAGTTATTTATTTAATACATTGTTTTCGTTTGTTTTGTATAGTATACGACATTATTTGTTAAAATAATATTTTTTTTTATTTTAACTTATAATATTTATTACTATTCCAGACTAGATTCAGTTGGAGGAAATTATGGGCATTCACTGGTCCAGGTTTCCTGATGAGCATCGCTTTTCTAGACCCGGGAAATATCGAAGCAGATCTTCAATCAGGAGCAGTCGCCAACTATGAGGTTGGTCCAATAACCTTAATTTATTGCTTAAAATTTTGATCCATTTTATAATAATATAATACTTACAGGGCCAACAAGAAAAAAAAATATATGGATTTGATCTCTGGATCTGATAATAATAGTATTTTTGCCTGTCACATGAAAGCATAGGCGGATCTACGGGGAGGGGACTTTCGGGCTTAAGTCCTCTCCCCTCTCCCTAAAATGATAAAATGTAGTTACATAGTTATGTTTTATGGAAAAAATTATCTCTTAAAGTATTATTGTTCATGTAATTACATTTAATAGGACTTCAAGAATCACTTAAACACCATTTCATATAGGTAGTTAGTATCTTTCTTTTTTTTTCTAAAGTAATTATTGTTATATATGTAAAAAAAAAGAGGCTTTCCGGCTGAAGTCCCTCCGAAATTAAATCCTTGATCCGCTAGTGCACGAAGGTACGATGAAGTAGATTGTTTATCCATTCAGTATGAGATTATTAAATGTTGAAGACGTTACATAAAAAGCATATACAAGTTTTTAAATTCTGCAGGATAAAGTAAAAAAAAAAAAGGAAGACTTTTTTGCTTCTTTTTCACGCTGAAACTGGAAACTCGATAACAGCCTGAAATATTTCTAAAGAAAAGCCAGTATCCTCTAACGTTCTATGGAATAACACACCCCTTTCCCAGGACTAAAGTTATCGTATGACGTTATTCACTACTAACTAGTACACCTTTGTGAAATAGATACAAAATCATAGGTGTAAGCTACTAGAGGAGATAGAAGAGTGAGGAAGAAGATCCTCTTACCAATAAAAATAGAGAGAGGCCGAGAATATCGTGTCTCTTTCACCTCCCTCGATATTTCGAAGAAAAAAAAAATCAAAATAAATAACAATTAATCTTCATGAGGGAATAAATATGTAAACTAAAATAAATTAAGAAATTAGGGAAAGTCGACTAGATGTCTAAGATAAATGTAGGTAAGTATTTTACCTCGCCCTATATTTCTATTATTGAAATTTTAATTTGTATTCAAACATGTAGTAACATATCCTAGAATTTTATGATTCATTCATGCTCACCTTTCCATTTTTACGTGACAATTTAATTATTTATTATTTTATTTATCTTACTTCCCGCGGCAAATTTGAAGCATCAGAGATTTGAGAGTTCATCTCACTGTCTCAAACCTTTAAACATAAATAAAAATATGTAGTATATTCACAAAAATCCAACATATGCCTCACAGACTCTACAACAGTATTTAACAAGATTACATGACTGGTTCAAAATTTGGAAAATCCGACTAAATCAAGACAAACACAGCGCATCACATTTACGGTTCGACATGAAACATTCCCTTCAGTTTTCCTTGACAATGCACAGATTCCACAGACAGACACCGTTCACTACCTTGGTCTGACATTTAACAGAAGAATGACGTGGGACCCACATATAATCAAGAAACGAAAAACGCTAAATCAACGGTTAAGAATTCTGAGTTCACTCCTTTCGAAAAATTCAAAACTAAAACTTAGACAGAAATTGAACACATACAATTATTTACTAAAACCTATTTGGACTTACGCATCACAGATATTTAGAACTGCTAAAAAGACTCACTTAAAGAAACTTCAAATCTTTCAAGCAAAAACATTCAGAACAATTACAAAAGCACCTTGGTACGTTAGCAACATAACCTTACATACTGATCTCCATAAGCCGACTGTTAACGAACACATTCGAACTCATTACAAACGATTCCATGACAACTTACACGGACATCCTAATACACTTATAAATGACATGGCCACGACGAATATACCAGGTAACGTCTGTAGGAGACTGAAGCGGAGCTGGATGAGGGACCTCCTCGCCTAATGTAGATATCACTCATAATTTGTATTGATAATATAAATTCCCGAGATTTTTTTTGGGAAGGTCCAGCTTTCCTCTCCAACCAGAATGGAAAGTCTGCTCTTAAGTACAAAATATACATTATTATTTATACGATATTATAATTATGCCTTACTAATTATAAGGTAGGATATAATTATTAATTATTTGTATAATAACTTTTGTCAGTTGAAATATTCTTTATCAAAACGATCATAGTCTGCGGTACAGACCCCTTTTACAAATTATTACCACTTGTCTAAAACTTCGTAAATTGCTTCATTTTATCGTGACTTTCAGCTTTTTTATTTATTTATTTTTTAACATTGATTTGGTTGACACTTCAATCATAAGATGATTCGATTAGAAATTCGGGAAAACGGGTAGCTTACAAAAATATTAGGTCGGTTGGCGTCACTTGCACCGCCAAAATAACGAGGTTATTTAGGCCAAAAGGTCCAGTATTATCGTAGGTTACCAAACGGGTTCTCATGATTTTTTAGTGCCTCATTAAATTAATTTAGTTAGTCGGAGAATGCTTCATTTATGAAAATTTCGTATTTATACACATTGTTGGTTACGATAAAACGAAGCCACACAGAAAGTTTTAGACGACTGTTAATAATTTATTAAAAAGGAGTCTGTACCACGAGCTCCATACGATATCATAATTATACCTTATTAATTATTTATTCATAATTTGTGATCTAACTTGGATAGTTGAAATATTAATATGTAATGAAAATATTAATTTTTCCAACGACTTCAATAGATTCCAATAGAATACACGAATAGCAAAACTAAAGCAGGAAATTTATTGCTTCTCTTAATAAAACAGTGGAGTGGAAATGTAAATGAGTTGTTGGGACTGGGTACTGCCCTAGGGAGTTGGAGGTTCACTAGACAATGCTCTTCTCGAGTCCCGGTTCGATTTCCGCTTAAGAGGACAATTGGTTCCTTTGCACCCTGATCGTCCTGGAGCCGAAAAACCCTCTGGGGCTTCATCAAGGAAATCTTTGCTGACCGTATCAACTCCAAGTAAATGATGGTACATCGAGGAATGAGAGATAGTTCTTGTTAATGTAGATTTTGTCTAAATTCGTTTTTTATCTATTTCAATTGCGCTATTTATTTCGGTTAAATATTTATTTATTAATTTATTTTGAATACACATATATGGATGTGTATATACATATGATGCGAATTGTTTTATGTCGGAGAAAGGAGGGGAGAGGGAAGATAAGGTTTTTGTGTAGATTGTACAACAAGATTGGTAGTTAATAAGGCCAGTCATAGATCAATTGACATCAACTGCAATGCTTGGCACGTTGTTTGCTGCTGTACGTGTACGTTACATCTGTTGACGTAAATTTGATTTATAATGACTGTTGCAACAATGATGTGAAAATGTCATTGTTATGTGTTGAAAAGTTTTGATTTAATTGAAGGTTTGTGGTTATTACAATGCTAGAAATATAAAACTACGGAGTAAGAGTTTAAAAAAATAAATATCATTATGTAAATCGGCAAACACAAAACAGTCCAAGCCCTTTTTCTTCTCTGTTATTCTACCGATTTTCTTCCTTATTTTTTCTGTTTAATAGCTATTGACGAGCCTTAGTGTTATCAATAAATAAAAATATTAAATAGTTTGTAAATAAATATATAAATGGTAGTTTGTTCAAAACAGCTAATCTCCGAAAGTTCTTCACCGATTTCATTGAAATTTTGACACAACGTCGCAATAATATTTATAAATGTTTTTATAGTCGTTTCATTATGATCAGACGTTTTCTTTCGAAATGGCGGCCGAAAAAAGTGATTCGCTTTAGACTGTAGCCCCAATACAGCTTAAATTAATTAAACCCCTATAACGGTCTTAATTAAACTTGTCTAAAGTCTTTCCCTTGAAACATTTATAATTTATGTATATAACATACTATCCCGAAAACAAACGGCATAAATTTTTATGATGAATTCAGTATTTTATTTGCAAATAACTCAAAAAGTACACATTTTTTATAGATAATACTTATTACTTATAGATAATAATTCCCTACGATATAAAAAAAAAAACATCGGACTATTTTTTGCAGAGATATATCATTTCAAATATTTAGTATTTTTTATTTTTCAAAGTTGATTTCCTCTATTTTGGTTTTTGGTCAAGTTAGTTAGTTTGTTAGTACAGTTTTGAGGAAGTTATAAGCAGCATTGATGATTTTTTAAAGTATTTTGGTTTATAAAGATGAGAGAAGAAGTTGGTGGATTTTGTGATTTGTGGATTAGTCAAAATAGACCTTATTATAGTCAATTAAATAAGTCTTTTATTGTTAATTAAAAGTTTAGAGCATTTGTCAAGTGTTGAAGTAACCGGAAATGTTTAATATGTCTTGTAGGTACAAGACTACAAGACAATAATTCAAAGTAAGACATTTGAACATTGATAATGTTCTAGTTAGCGAACCTGCGCATTAGAGATAAGTTGAATTAATATTCCACTTGATTGATTAATAGCAAAGATACAACATAACAGGAGGTCATAAGTTACGACGAAGGGATGAGAGGATTAGATGACATTTGTTGGAATTTATTTTAAACCTTCAATTTCAACATCATTCTTCCAAGTTTATGATATTTGATTGAAGATTTTTGGGAGCAACAAATAATACGGATGTGAACACACATTTGCTTCCCACTTGGATCATAAGATAATTTGGTCATAAAATCGAGAAAAAAGTTGGCCTGCGAAAATTCAGCGCCGATTGGCCAAACGGCCCAATGTTTTTGTAGGTCACTTTTTTCCTCGATTTCATGATCAATTTATCTTACGATTGGAAAGCAAATGGATTCATGAGCTTTTAGTATCGCATTAAATTAATTAATTTAATAGTGAAACGAAAAAAGGTATCTATACCGCGGACTATTTCATATGAGAATCAAGTTGATGACCCATGATATATTCAGCGCATGGTATTTTCAATCAAATCTGACCAAGCTGTTAATTAACATTTATGTGTTAATATGTTATTAGTTATCTATAAAATCATTATGCTACTTGCGGTTCTTTATGGATGCGAAACGTGGCCGCTTACATCAATGGATGAGCAACGTCTG